GTGTTTCTCCCGTTTGGGTCGTCCGTGGCCGTACGCGTAGGTAGTGGCATAAAAATGCTTTTGGATCACCATTCCGCATGAACTGGTCGCGGAGCTGTTGGGCTTTGCGTGAATGTTCCTCAGGTCTACTGCAGTAGGTCTGACTTCGTTTAAAAAACAGTTTCGTTTGTTGGCAACCAGATGGTTGCTGTAAGAACTGAGAAATTGTGTAGTGTTCGTTGCCTTCCTATAGATCGTTGTTTTAATTTCACAGTTGGGCGTTGTCTTGTCAAGGACATCAAAAAAAGGCAACTGCTGTTCTTCTTCGTCTTCCTGCGTGCATTTTTTTGTTAGAATGTATTCCACTGAGCAGGTCTTGGAAGTTTTGCGGCATGTTTTTCTTTATGATGGCAGGCTTACGTTGCCAAAAACGCTGTTTTCTAGGGGTGTTTTCTTGTAGAACCAGTTAAGCCAATAAGCCAAAGATCGGGGAGCTCATCGGAGTTGCTTTGATCTGTTCGTATGTTCCGCAAGCAAATGTAAAGTACGTTTACTGGCATTGTAAATCGTTTATGTCTTAAATGTTGATTGCTTCCAATCAAAATAATACTGATACGTCGTTAATTTGTGCCCAGTTTGCAAAGTCATTGGCTTCTCAGTTCAATATTTTTCAGTCTTATTAACGAAAAAAATAGGAGAACCCTTTTGAGTCCCCAATTGTTTATAAAATTTATGATCATAAGTACGGATACTTTAAAAAAACTAAGAAAGTTATCGTCTAAATAAACGCATGGCAAAAGCAGCCAGTTACACTCCGTTCCAAAATGATAGTACTCATTTAATGTGAGTAGTAAAATAAAGCGTTATGTAAATATTCCCACATTTTTTAAAGTCAGTTTTGGCAAACATGTTTTCGGCAAATCATTACTGCACCAGAAACACATACATTTGAACGTGTGTTTGCACCTTCTCTGAATGTGGGAGTTTTCTTGACTTTGAACCATACAGTAAGAAAGGCGTCGAGTAAACACATGAATAAGTACACACAGGTAGTAAGGACGATTCCTTGAGCAGAACGTCTTACGCTGCAATAACATATTAACTGAAGAAAATTTGCGTTCATGGATATTTGCGCCAGGTCTACGCTGTGTAAGGGAGTGACCAAGAAAACTGAACTGGTAAGGCTTACAGAAGAAGAAACACTGGTGACAAAGCAACTGTGGAAAGCTTATAGGAGGCCCTCTTATAATTTTGCATAGTAAAATTAAAGAAGGCTGAAGATTAGCATTCTGCTATCCTAGGCCAGCGTCCCCTGACCGTTTTTTTTCCTAGTAAGCACAGGTGGCTGTTGCAGTGATACTCAAACTGTCGCCCTCAGTCGCATACAAATATATGTGGGGTCACGATCCATGCACTGCAGGAGGAAAATAGCCCATGAAACCTCGCTTTTGCCGGAGCATCTAGTCTGCATTTTGAAAATTTATTTTTCAACCGCGAGGCCATATGTAGGAGCTT